AATTTCTTTTAACCAACTGACATTTTGATTATGTCTCGATGTAAAGTGTCGAGATTTGTTGCACAACAAAAACCGAAAACCCATTCAAGCGCGAATAATCACTTCTTAAACAGTACATGAACTTGATTTTAATTCTCGTTGCGTTGGCGTTTCATTTAACGCGTTTAAATAATTAGATTTATCAATGAAAACACTACTTACTCGACCATAAAATAAATTTATTAAAAACAACATTGAACTTGAAGTTTCAAAATGTCATCGAAATTTTTCTTGTATTTCTTTTTGGTTAATTTTAATTTAAAAACCGTCGAATCGTTGAAATGTTATCATTGTTCCGACTCCGAATCCGAGACTAAATCGCTTTCAAATTGCTCGAAACCGGAAGTTTTCGACTGCAACGTTTCCCCATCGATTTGTATCCTTGTAAAAACGACAAAAATGGTGCACGCGAGTTGCATTCATGGATCTTGTTTGGATTTTCCCGAATCCGACGAAGATTTTTGTTGCGAATTGGATTTGTGTAATTCTCCAGTTGGGAAAATATTTGAAAGAAAACATTTTCGAATGGATAATTCGAAAAATAATAATAAATTCTTGTTAGGATTTTTAATTTTCTTGGTTATATTAAATTATGTAATTAATTCATCGATCCAATACATTCACTTTATTTAAAACCGCAATAACATATTATATTGGTGTTATATTGGGTTAATTAAAGAATGGTTAAGTTGAGTAAAAGGGACTTTCCTATTTTAAACTTGATTTAGATTTTTAAATAAATGTTTTAATCCAACAAAAAGAAACTCATCTCCATCTATTTAAACTTTAAATAGACTTTCACTTTTTAAATAACTTCTTAATAATGATTAAATTTTTAATCACATAATACTTACCTCAAAAAAAAACCAACTATTTTATCATAAACTTTAATTACAATCAAATAACTTAAAACAAACACATTAATTTATTAAGATGTTGCCCGTTTCAGAGTTTAAAATCGACTGAGAGATTTTCATCTTTGTCTTCTTGTTCTTCAAACACTGAGAACTCAATTTCTTCTCCCCCCTTTTTGCCATCAACATTTTTTTCCATCTATTTAACTACATTTCGAGCCTTGCGAACGAAATAGAATTTTTTTTGCAGCATTGTGTTAAACGAAATCGGGGTTAATGATATTCCCATCATTATTAAGGATTATTGAGGATTATTTAAATTTTAGATTCTTCTTCAGTAACTTGTCGTAGAAAAGCCAGGAACGAAAACGACGTTTTTATCGCCTAAAATCGATTAATTTAATTAATTAAACGCTTTATTAACTTCGTTAATTACGAATAAAAACGTTGTTAATTTCATATCGAAAAATTTCCAAGCTGTAACCGTAATCGGTTTCGATAACTTCGTTTGGAGGATATTAAACATTTTCTTGAAAGTGTCATCGCATAAATACCATGGGATTTCGTAAATATCATTCAGTAGAACCTCACTCTATAAATAAATTTGTCGTATTAATCGTATTAATCTAAAAAACACTTAAAATTTATTAAAATGTGTTTGTTGACGTTAACATAACCTCACTTTTTTTTTTGACGTTTATCTGACTTACCGACTCAATTTAAAACTTAATTTATTTCTAAATATAAACGAAAATCTTATTAAACGCTAATTTAATAATGATTAATTCGATTAAACCCGCTTTTATTAATAATTAGATGTAAATAAAAAATTTTGTTTGACAACTTGATCAAATTAAAACCATTTTTTATTAATAAATTACATCTAAATATTAATAAATCAATAAAAAATCATTAATTTAGCGCTTAATACACAAAACAAATTAAAATAATTAAATAATTATAAACAAATTTTAATTTTTCTTTCGCACTCAACTTCATATTAATCCCGGCTTATTTATCTTAGCAGTTGACACGTCATTGAGTGTTTGTTGAAGATTTTTGCGATTTCCTCACCAAAAACCCATTAAAATGTTCTCAAGGTAGTTCTAATTAACCATTTAATGTTCATTTCAATCACATAACATGTTTTAGGGGCCTAAATCGCAAAAAAATTCTTTGTTGACGTTGACATAACCTCACTTTTTTTTTTGACGTTTCTCTGACATCGACTCAATTTAAAACTTAATTTATTTCTAAATATAAATTATTAAACGCTAATTTAATATTAACTAATTCGGTTAAACCCAATTTTATTAATAATTCAGATTAATTTAGGTTTGTTCATGTTAGTAGTTGATAACATTAAGAATTTTTGCGATTTTCTCCTCAAAGTAATTCTAATTAACTATATTAATGTTTAGTTCAACGTTATAATGTATTTTAGGTCCCCAAATCGTGCAAATTTGAAGATTTAAAAAAAAGGTGAGGAGACAGCGCCATCTATTAAGAGACGTCATCATCAAAATTTTAATTATAAAATATTAATAACTTTGTTATTAATTTATATTTTTAGGTAAAAATCAAATTTTTTAACGAAAAACCCTCCCAGATTATTGTGGATTTATTAATTTCATGTTATAAAGTCTCCGAAGTGTGATCGTAACTAATTTAGATGGCTTCGTTACGTTTAATCGCAATTAAATTGCCTAAATAGAATCGGATTTCATCAATAAAACTTCCCTTTATACATAATTAGGTGATATAAATCTTAAAATTGATTAAATTAATTTTTAAATGAATTTGATGTTGATATAACCTCACTTTTTTTTTGACGTTTATACAATTTAAAATCGAATTTGTTTTTAAATATAAATAAAAACGTTATTAAACGCTAATTTAATAATGATTAATTGGATTAAACCCGCTTTTATTAATAATTAGATGTAAATAAAAAATTTTGTTTGACAACTTGATCAAATTAAAACCATTTTTTATTAATAAATTACATCTAAATATTAATAAATCAATCAAAAATCATTAATTTAGCGCTTAATACACAAAACAAATTAAAATAATTAAATAATTACAAACAAATTTTAATTTTTCTTTCGCACTCAACTTCATATTAATCACAGCTTATTTATCTTAGCAGTTGACACGTCATTGAGTGTTTGTTGAAGATTTTTGCGATTTCCTCACCAAAAACCCATTAAAATGTCCTCAAGGTAGTTCTAATTAACCATTTAATGTTCATTTCAATCACATAACATGTTTTAGGGCCCTAAATCGCAAAAAAAATCTTTGTTGACGTTGACATAACCTCACTTTTTTTTTTGACGTTTATCTGACATCGACTCAATTTAAAACTTAATTTATTTCTAAATATAAATTATTAAACGCTAATTTAATATTAACTAATTCGGTTAAACGCCATTTTATTAATAATTCAGATTAATTTAGGTCTGTTCATGTTAGTAGTTGATAACATTAAGAATTTTTGCGATTTTCTCCTCAAATTAATTCTAATTAACTATATTAATGTTTAATTCAACGTTATAATGTATTTTAGGTCCCCAAATCATACAAATTTGAAGATTAAAAAAAAAGGTGAGGAGATAGCGCCATCTATTAAGAGACGTCATAATCAAAATTTTAATTATTAAATATTAATTATCTTTGTTATTAATTTATATTTTTAGGTAAAAATCAAATTTTTTAACGAAAAACCCTCCCAGATTATTGTGGATTTATTAATTTCATGTTATAAAGTCTCCGAAGTGTGATCGTAACTAATTTAGATGGCTTCGTTACGTTTAATCGCAATTAAATTGCCTAAATAGAATCGGATTTCATCAATAAAACTTCCCTTTATACATAATTAGGTGATATAAATCTTAAAATTGATTAAATTAATTTTTAAATGAATTTGATGTTGATATAACCTCACTTTTTTTTTGACGTTTATACAATTTAAAATCGAATTTGTTTTTAAATATAAATAAAAACGTTATTAAACGCTAATTTAATAATGATTAATTGGATTAAACCCGCTTTTATTAATAATTAGATGTAAATAAAAAATTTTGTTTGACAACTTGATCAAATTAAAACCATTTTTTATTAATAAATTACATCTAAATATTAATAAATCAATAAAAAATCATTAATTTAGCGCTTAATACACAAAACAAATTAAAATAATTAAATAATTATAAACAAATTTTAATTTTTCTTTCGCACTCAACTTCATATTAATCCCGGCTTATTTATCTTAGCAGTTGACACGTCATTGAGTGTTTGTTGAAGATTTTTGCGATTTCCTCACCAAAAACCCATTAAAATGTTCTCAAGGTAGTTCTAATTAACCATTTAATGTTCATTTCAATCTTATAACATGTTTTAGGGCCCTAAATCGCAAAAAAATCATTGTTGGATGACTTTGTTTACGTTGACATAACCTCACTTTTTTTTTTGACGTTTATCTGACTTACCGACTCAATTTAAAACTTAATTTATTTTTAAATATAAATAAAAACGTTATTAAACGCTAATTTAATAATAATTAATTGGATTAAACTCGCTTTTATTAATAATTAGAAGTAAATAAAATTTTTTTTTGACAAGGTCAAATTTATAAAGTTAAAATGAATTTTTATTAATAAATTATGTTTGAATATTAATAAATCAATAAAAAATCGTTAATTTAGAGCTTAATAAATAAAATAAATCAAAATAATTAAATAATTACAAATAAATTATAATTTTTTTTCGTTACTAACTTCACATTAATTATGGTTTGTTTGTTTCAGTTGTTGACAGCGTCTCTACAACATTGAGTGTGATTGTTGAAGATTTTCGCGATTTTCTCATCAAAAATCGATTAAAATGTCCTCAAGGTAATTCTAATTAACTTTTTTAATGTTTATTTCAACATTTTAATCATATAACATGTTTTAGGATTAAATCGCAAAAAAATAAGATTGGAGGTAGCGCCATCTATTATGAAACGTCATCATCACCATCAACGTCATCATTTTAAGGTTAGTTTTATTTAAAATAAATTAATTTTTGATTATTAATTTGTATTTTTTTAGGTAAGAACGATTTTTAACTCACCTCGTCGAATAATTTTTGCCCCAAATACGTTAAGCAAAAAATTTCTGCGTAACACATCGCCAAATACTCGACTAATCGCATCAAAGTGGACACTTCCGAGGTAACGGCGATCGCGTACATGATAAAAATGCAATAAAAAATTCCTAGAAGCATTTCCGGGAGTAATAGAGGCGAAAAGAAAGTTTGCATCTCATCGCAAACGTCCAATAAGACTTGATAATCTTCAACGCAATCGATTAATCCTTTTTTTAAATCATTTTTAAACGAATTTTTCGCAAAAACTTCTAAAATTTCGTTATTTTTTGTAGATTCTTTGAACGTTTCGATCGATTTTTTATCGATTCCGTGTTTTAAAAGGACGGTGTGAATCAAATTTTTTAAAGTCCACCCCAATAAAGTGAATTGCTCTGTTATAAATATCGTGGTGCATGAAAAAAACATATCCGAGTTGCCGTACGAGAAAACCATGAAGTGTTGGGTTACGATTTGTGTTAAATAAATGATTTGGTAATAAGGAGTTCGTTTCGAATCGAAAGGGTACCACAATGGCAATGGGAGAACTCTAAAAATAAATAAATAAATCGTTATTTAATAAAATAAATAATCATACCTTCCAACTTTGTGAATTTCAAACAACGGGAGCAAAGCCATGAATTGCCCCGTGAAAAAAACGCTAAAACTCCAAAGCACCACGAACATTTTCGTTATTTTAACGCAATTATTTAAGTTTTTTTCTTCAAAACCAGTTGTTGTTTTGTGTTTAAACTTATTAATCGTTTTAACGACTCTTTCTAGTTTATTTTCGCAGAAATAGAAATAATTTGTTCTAAAAATCGCAGAAAAAAATATTATAATCGTCATAATCTCAACAGCCATTTTATCGATTTCTAATTTCCCCTTCTCAATGTTGATTAAGACCACATTAATCGCAGTTAAGATTAATCCAGAGAATAACACAATGTTTATTACGACCCTTAATAATTTATAAAGAATTTTGGTTGTTTTTGAGGCGTTTTCGTCGATTTTGTACATTGCCATGGTGCATTTTGAAACGATTAAGTTAAACTTTAAGTATCGAGGCATTTTTGATGCTTCAAAAGAGTTCGAGTTCGATTTTATACATTTTTGAGGTTATAAATGATTGAATTAATTAAAAAACTTGGCTTATAATTACTCGGATTAGGTTATAATTAAGTGGGTGGAGAAATCTTTTTAATAATTTATTCGGAGACTTGGCGGAGAAAAGTTAGATAAGAAAACGAAGTTTTAATTGCCTGCAATAACAAAATAAGACAAAAATTGTTGAATTAATTAACTTACAAAGAGAAATGTTGATAAGGCCATCGGGAAAAATTTCCAAGCTGTTAATAAAATCGGTTTTTTCAGTTTAATTTGGATGATTAAAAGGGTTTTTTGGATCTTTTTGTCGCACAAATACCAAGGGGATTTCCAAAATGAATCCAAAACCATCTCAGACTAAAAATAAATACTAAATTTATTATTTTAAAGGATAAAAAATCAAATTTTTTATTGGTTAGGTTATATTTAATTAAGATGACATTAAAAAAATAATTTTTATTTATTTTTTATGTTCAAATTCGTAATCTTGATTAAAAATCCTTTAAAATGATACCAAACTCGATGGGGATTATCTCAAAATTGACGTATCCGATTATTTTCAAGATGGCGGATGATTTTGTAGGTTAATTTTGCTGTTTTTCAAGATAAACCCATCGAGTTTGGACTCATTTTAAAGCATTTTTAATTTTCTTTAATCAATAACTAATAAAAATTCAATTTTTTTATTAGTTAGGTTATGTTTAATTACAATCACATTAAAAAACAATTTTTATTTATTTTTTATGGTCAAATTCGGAATCTTGATTAAAAATCCTTTAAAATGACACCAAACACGATGGGATTATCTCAAAATTGACGTATCCGATTTTTTCAAGATGGCGGGTAATTTTTTAGGTTATCTTTTTTGTTTTTAAAGATAATCCTATCGAGTTTGGACTCATTTTAAAGGATTTTTAATTTTCTTTAATAAATAACTAATAAAAATTTAATTTTTTTATTAGTTAGGTTATGTTTAATTAAGATGACATTAAAAGAATTTTTTTATTTGTTATGGACAAATCCGCAATCTTGATTAAAAATCCTTTAAAATGACACCCAACATGATGGGGTTATCTCAACATTAACGTATCCGATTATTTTCAAGATGGCGGGTAATTTTTTAGGTTATCTTTTTTGTTTTTAAAGATAATCCTATCGAGTATTTTAAAGGATTTTTAATTTTCTTTAATAAATAACTAATAAAAAATCAATTTTTTTATTCGTTAGGTTATGTTTAATTAAGATGACATTAAAAAAATAATTTTTATTTATTTTTTATTGTCAAACTCGTAATCTTGATTAAAAATCCTTTAAAATGACACCAAACTCGATGGGGTTATCTCAAAATTGACGTATTCGATTTTTTTTCAAGATGGCGGACACTTTTTTAGGTTAATTATGTTATTTTGAAAGATAATCTCATCGAGTTTGGACTCATTTTAAAGGATTTTTAATTTTCTCTAATAAATAACTAATAAAAAATCAATTTTTTTATTAGTTAGGTTATGTTCAATGAAGATGATATTAAAAAAATAATTTTTATTTATTTTTTATTGTCAAATTCGCAATCTTGATTAAAAATCCTTTAAAATGATACCAAACTCGATGGGGTTATCTCAAAATTGACACATTCGATTATTTTCAAAATGGCGTCTAAACTTTTAGGTTAGCTTTGCTATTTTTAAAGATAACCCCGTCGAGTTTGGACTCGTTTTAAAGGATATTTAATTTCTTACATATAATTATCAATAAAAAGAGTTAATTTCTTTTCGTTTGATACGATTTCTTAAGATAAAACCGGAAGTAAACCGATTTTCTCTTTAACAATTGATTTTTATCAACAAAAGTTATTTCTAATGCATTCAAAATTAAAAATCCTTTTATTTGAGTATAAACACGGTGGGGTTATCTTAAAATTAACATATCGGTTTTTTTTCAAAATGGCGCCTAAGTTATTTAGGTTATCTTTGCTATTTTTAAAGATAACTACATCGAGTTTGGACTCATTTTAAAGGATTTTTCATTATCTTTACGAAAGTATCAATAAGAAATTAAATTTGAAACTTTATGCTTTTTGTAGGTTAGGTTAATCCTCAATTACGATTATTTTCAATCTTTTTAATATTAAAATTTGTAATCCACATCAAAAATCCTTTAAAATGACACTAAACTCGATGGGGTTATCTCAAAATTGACACATTCGATTATTTTCAAGATGGCGTCTAAACTTTTAGGTTAACTTTGCTATTTTTAAAGATAACCCCGTCGAGTTTGGATTCGTTTTAAAGGATTTTTTGTACTCTATACGAAAATGTCAATAAGAATTTTGTTTTTTAGAAATTTTGTATTTTTTGTAGGTTAGGTTATGTTTTAAATGATTTTAAAATCATTTTTTACATTGAAATTTGTAATTCACATCAAAAATAGCACCAAACACGATGGAATTAATTTAAAATCAACAAATATCGTATTTTCAAGATGGCGGATATTTTTTTAGGTTATCTTTTTCATTTTTGAAGATAACCCCATCGAGTTTGGACTCATTTTACAGGATTTTTCATTACCTTTTCGAAAATATTTATAAAATTTGAAATTTCATATTTTTGATTTTATAAATTATTAAAAAATCATTTTTTTAACTCACCGAGGTGGTTAATTTTTGCCCGATGAAAGTTAAACAAAAAAGTTGAGTGTGCGAGATCATAATGTACTCAATCAAAGAATACGTCGTTGAATTAAACGATTTCTAAAACAATATTTTAACTTAATTAATTAATTAATGACTTAATTATAATTAATTACCGAAACCACAATCGAGTACATAATAAAAATGTTATAAGAAATACCCAACATCACGTTGGGTAGATGCAAAGGTGCAAAAAAATTTTCAGTTTCCTCACAAATTTTCATCAAAACTTGATGATTTCGAACCCAATTTTTCAAAATTTCGTTCAAATCGGATTTAAATTTCTCCGTCTCGATGATTTTTAGCATCCCCAGGTTAATTTGTTTAGCGAATAAATCGTTTTTGAACCTAACCACGTCTTGCTTCGAAACGTTTTGTTGCAACAGCGCCGTAAAAACGACGTTTTCCAGTTCGAAACTTAAAAATTCGAATTGCGACCCGATCATAAATCCGACGCAAACGAAGAACATGTCGGAGGCGCCGTAAGAAAATCCCATAAAGTATTGCGTTAAGCTTTGCGTGAAATATGTTAGTTCATACTTTGGGGATGATTTCCAATCGTACGGGTACCATAAAGGTAAAGGGAGAACTCTAAAATTAAAATTAATAATAGATTCGTAATCGTGATTAAAAATCCTTTAAAATGATACCAAACACGATGGGGTTATCTCAAAATTGACGTATTCGATTTTTTTTCAAGATGGCGGATAATTTTTTAGGTTAATTATGTTGCTTTTAAAGATAATATCATCGAGTTTGGGTTCATTTTAAAGTATTTTTTATTATATATATGAAATAACCAATAAAAAATCAAATTTGTTATTAATTGGGTTATGTTTAATTATGATGACATTAAAAAAATTATTTTTATTTCTTTTTTGGATTAAAATTCGTAATCTTCATGAAAAATCCTTTAAAATGACACCAAACACGATGGGGTTATTTCAAAATTGACGTATTCGATTATTTTCAAGATGGCGGATTATTTTTTAGGTTATCTTTTTTGTTTTTAAAGATAATCCTATCGAGTTTGGACTCATTTTAAAACATTTTTAATTTTCTTTAATGAATAACTAATAAAAAATCAATTTCTTTAATAGTTAGGTTATGTTTAATTACGATGACATTAAAGAAAAAAATTTTGTTTACTTTATTATGGGCAAATTCGTAATCTTGATTAAAAATCCTTTAAAATGATACCAAACTCGATGGGGTTATCTCAAAATTGACATATTCAATTATTTTCAAGATGGCGGCTAAATTTTTAGGTTAACTTTGCTATTTTTGAAGACAACCCCATCGAGTTTGGACTCATTTTAAAGCATTTTTAATTTTCTTTAATAAATAACTAATAAAAAATCAATTTATTTAATAGTTAGGTTATGTTTAATTAAGATGACATTAAAGAAAAAAATTTTATTTACTTTTTTATGGGCAAATTCGTAATCTTGATTAAAAATCCTTTAAAATGATACTAAACTCGATGGGGTTACTTCCACATTGACACATTCGATTATTTTCAAGATGGCGGCTAAATTTTTAGGTTAACTTTGCTATTTTTAAAGATAACCCTATCGAGTTTGGACTGATTTTAAAGGATTTTTTATTATCTTTACGAAAGTATCAATAAGAAATTAAAATTTGAAATTTTATGCTTTTTGTAGGTTAGGTTATGTTCAATTACGATGATTCTCATTTTTTTTTGTTTTTAAATTTTTTATTTTCCTTAAAAATTCTTTTATTTTACCCCCAACTTGGTTTTGTTTCCTTCAAATTTGCCCCTTTGGTTTTTTTTCAGGTTGGGGGTTAATTTTTTGGTTAACTTTGCTATTTTTAAAGATAACCCCATCGAGTTTGGACTCATTTTAAAGGATTTTTTGTAATCTCTTTGTATTTTTTTTTAGAAATTTTGTATTTTTTGTAGGTTAGGTTATGTTCAATTTGGATAATTTTAAAATTGTTTTTTATATTAAAATTCGTAATCCACATTGAAAATTCTTTAAAATAACACCAAACACGATGGGGTTAATTTAAAATCAACTAATTTCGTATTTTCAAGATGGCGGCTGCGTTTTTAGGTTATCTTTTTCATTTTTGAAGATAACCCCATCGTGTTTGGAGTCATTTTAAAGGATTTTTTATTTCTTATCAGAAAACATCGTTTTCTCAATTTTTTTTTTTTCAAAATGGCGTCCAAGTCGCCATTAACTTTGCCATTTTGAAAGATAACCCCATCGAGTTTGGACTCATTTTAAAGGATTTTTCGTTATCTTTACGAATATATTAATAAAATTTGAAATTTCGTATTTTTGTAGGTTAAGTTACGTATTTTAACGGATTTTTCTTGTAGATTTCGAAATTAAGTGAATTTACCTCCCCGTTTTTGAAATAAAAAAGATCGGTAACAACGCCATGAATTGTCCTGTGAAAAATACGGCAATCGACCAAATTAAAACGATGTTTCTGTTTAATTTATCGTAAAAAGTGATGGTTTTTTCGCTAAATCCGGTGTTCGTCGTCCGTTTGAAGTTGTCGTTTATCAATTTCACCAAGTTTTTGAGGTTATCTTCGCGGAAATAAAAATAATTTATTCTGATTACTGACGAGAGGAAAATTACTGGAAAAAATTTTTTTTTTGATTTAATTAATTAAATTAATTAAGAATTTACCTGAATTCATGACCTCAACAGCGATTTTATCGATTTCTTTTTCTTTTTTGTTATAAATCTCCATCAGGCTTAGAATAATCCCAGAAATTAACCCAAAATTGCAAGTTAATCTCCAAAAATAGAACAAAATTTTGATTAATAACCCAAATTTTTTATTTAGCTTAAACATGGACATCGTCCCACAAATTAGGACGTTGTATCTCAACAACTTAATCATTTTAACAATATTAATCGAAACAATTAATCCCTATTTATATATCTAGATGCTTTAAATTATTAATTAATTAATTGGGGGAGTTCAGATTCAAGTTTGATCCAGTTTTAGTTTCTAAACGTTTTCAATTTAAATATTAATAAAGTTAAATCACTTTCCTAAACTAATTTTTTCTGAAAGAAAAACGTTTAAAGCTTTCTCTTTGCCATTGAAATCACAACAATTGGCCACATATGGCGTTTTGATTACTTTTACTTTATTAGAAGTGTAAGAATGTGCTTAAATTGCTTCTTGACGTCGGTTTCTAAGCAAAGTAAAGAAGCTAAACGAAGTTTTTATCACCTAAAAGTGAGAAAAAAAGTTAATGTTGATTTTAAATTCATTTTCTTGGATTTTCTACCCAGCTATAAGCCCCCAAATCGAACATTACAAATTTTCCGAGCGAAATTCCAATATCTCTCTGCAAATTTAGATGAACCAGGAGAAATAAAGCTTTAGTTTCCCTCGGGCAAAGATACCAAGGCGTCGAATAAAGCGAAAATTGCAATTTTCGGCTCTTAAACAACAAATTAAATCAAAACTAATTAATTAAACGTTAATTAATTACTTCTTGGAGGAGATAATCGGAGGTGAAGGCCGCCAAAAAGCTTTGAATGGCCGAGGCTAAAAAATAAGTCACCATTTGGGAGCGATTCGCCAAAGATTCCGTCTAAAAAAAGTTAATTTTAAATCTAATTAAGTAATTAATACGAAATAACCAATAAAACATTAAAGAAAAAATCTTTATTTATTTTTTACGGTCAAATTCGGAATCTTGATTAAAAATCCTTTAAAATGACACCCAACATGATGGGGTTATCTCAAAATTGACTTATCCGATTATTTTCAAGATGGCGGATGATTTTGTAGGTTAATTTTGCTGTTTTTCAAGATAATCTCATCGAGTTTTTACTAATTTTAAAGGATTTTTAATTTTCTTTAATAAATAACTAATAAAAATTTATTTTTTTTATTAGTTAGGTTATGTTTAATTAAGATGACATTAAAAAAAAATTTTTATTTATTTTTTATGGTCAAATTCGGAATCTTGATTAAAAATCCTTTAAAATGACACCCAACATGATGGGGTTATCTCAAAATTGACTTATCCGATTATTTTCAAGATGGCGGATGATTTTGTAGGTTAATTTTGCTGTTTTTCAAGATAAACCCATCGAGTTTGGACTCATTTTAAAGGATTTTTAATTTTCTTTAATAAATAACTAATAAAAATTTAATTTTTTTATTAGTTAGGTTATGTTTAATTAAGATGACATTAAAAAAAATTTTTTATTTGTTATGGACAAATCCGCAATCTTGATTAAAAATCCTTTAAAATGACACCCAACATGATGGGGTTATCTCAACATTAACGTATCCGATTATTTTCAAGATGGCGGATGATTTTGTAGGTTAATTTTGCTGTTCTTCAAGATAAACCCATCGAGTTTGGACTCATTTTAAAGCATTTTTAATTTTCTTTAATCAATAACTAATAAAAATTCAATTTTTTTATTAGTTAGGTTATGTTTAATTACAATCACATTAAAAAACAATTTTTATTTATTTTTTATGGTCAAATTCGGAATCTTGATTAAAAATCCTTTAAAATGACACCAAACACGATGGGATTATCTCAAAATTGACGTATCCGATTTTTTCAAGATGGCGGGTAATTTTTTAGGTTATCTTTTTTGTTTTTAAAGATAATCCTATCGAGTTTGGACTCATTTTAAAGGATTTTTAATTTTCTTTAATAAATAACTAATAAAAATTTAATTTTTTTATTAGTTAGGTTATGTTTAAATAAGATGATATTAAAAAAAATTTTTTATTTGTTATGGACAAATCCGCAATCTTGATTAAAAATCCTTTAAAATGATACCAAACTCGATGGGGTTACCTCAAAATTGACACATTCGATTATTTTCAAGATGGCGGCTAAATTGTTAGGTTAATTTTGCTATTTTTAAAGATAACCCCATCGAGTTTGGACTCATTTTAAAGGATTTTTAATTTTCTTTAATAAATAATTAATAAAAATTCAATTTTTTTATTAGTTAGGTTATGTTTAATTAAGATGACATTAAAAAAATATTTTTATATTTTATGTTGAAATTCGCAATCTTGATTAAAAATCATTTAAAATGATACCAAACTCGATGGGGTTACCTCAAAATTGACACATTCGATTATTTTCAAGATGGCGGCTAAATTGTTAGGTTAACTTTGCTATTTTTAAAGATAACCCCATCGAGTTTGGACTCATTTTAAAGAATTTTTAATTTTCTTTAATAAATAACTAATAAAAATTCAATTTTTTTATTAGTTAGGTTATGTTTAATTAAGATGACATTAAAAAAAATTTTTTATTTGTTATGGACAAATCCGCAATCTTGATTAAAAATCATTTAAAATGATACCAAACTCGATGGGGTTACCTCAAAATTGACACATTCGATTTTTTCAACATGGCGGCTAAATTTTTAGGTTAACTTTGCTATTTTTAAAGATAACCCCATCGAGTTTGGACTCGTTTTAAAGGATTTTTAATTTTCTTTAATAAATAACCAATAAAAAATCAATTTTGTTATTAGTTAGGTTATGTTTAATGAAGATGATATTAGAAAAATAATTTTATTTATTTTTTATGGTCAAATTCGTAATCTTGATTAAAAATCCTTTAAAATGAACCCAACCTCGAGGAGGACTTCAAAATTGACACATTCGATTATTTTCAAGATGGCGGCTAAATTTTTAGGTTATCTTTGCTATTTATGAAGACAACCCCATCGAGTTTGGACTCATTTTAAAGGATTTTTCATTATCTTTACGAAAATATGAATAAAAAATTTAAATTTAAAACTTTATGCTTTTTGTAGGTTAGGTTATGCTCAATTTCGACGATTTAAAATTTTTTTAATATTAATCATAAATAATTTCATTAAATAATTTTTTAATTATTAATATTAAAAAATTTGTAATCCACATCAAAAATCCTTTAATATCACACCAAACTCGATGGGGTTATCTCAAAATTGACGTAATTGAATTAATTAATTAATTTACCACGCTCAACCCGAACATGATAAACACCGAATTCCCCAAAATGCTCAAAAACATTAAAAGCAACCCAACGGAGAGGAAATTTTCGAGAAAATCGCACAAAGTCAAAACGTTCTTGTGATACTCAATAATCTGGACGATTTTCATTTTTAAAACATCTCGAAATTGCTGAGTTTGCATAAAATCGAAAATTTCGTAAAAATCTCCCCCATTTTCGATTTCATTTGAATTCGGGATGTGGTGTTTAAACGATTGGATTGTTTTTGCGTCAAATCCCGACGAAATCAAAGCTGAATAACACACATTTTCCATTTCCCAAGATAAAATTTGGAATTGCCCAGCCGTCGCGAGAACGACGCAAATATAAAATGCGTCGGTTATGTTGTAATAATAACAAATTATAAATTGACATATTATTTGGTAAATGTGGGATAATTCGTAATAAGGCGATGAATTAGCGTCGTATGGATACCATAAAGAAATCGGTTCTTTCCTAAAAAACAAATTAATTAAGAATAATTAAAATTAATTAATTAAAAACACCTGTAAATCACGGGAACAAAAGCGAAAACGATCCCGGCTATAAACGACACAACCGTTTGGGTTAATGACACAAAATTTGCGGCGTTTATTAAATTGTTTATTGAAATTTCTTTAAGTCCGGTGTTGGAGGATTTTTTGAAATGTTCGTTTACGTAGTTGATTATTTTGATCGTTTTGTAATCGTACCCGTAATATAACACCATTCGGATTACAATTCCAATGTAGACGACTGCAAAGAAATTAAATAATTAGTTTTTATGCTAAATTCGTAATCTGTATCGAAAATCCTTTAAAATGAGTCCAAACTCGATGGGGTTATCTTTAAAAATGGAAAAGATAACCTAACAAAACCGCCATTTTGAAAAAAAAAAAACGGAAAAATTGGTTTTTTATATTAAAATTCGTAATCTATATTAAAAATCCTTTAAAATGACACCAAACACGATGGGGTTATCTCAAAACCAACTTATCGATTTTTCTTTCAAAATGGCGTCTTAATTGTTAGGTTATCTTTGCTGTTTTTGAAGATAAGCCCATCGAGTTTGTACTTATTTTAAAGGATTTTTTATTATCCTTATCAAAATATCAATGGGAAGCCCAAATTTTATTCTTTTGTAGGTTAGGTTATGTTGAATATGGATGATTTAAAACTTTTTTATATTAAAATTCGTAATCTACATCAAAAATCTTTTAAAATGACACCAAACACGATGGGGTTATCTCAAAACCAACTTATCGATTTTTCTTTCAAAATGGCGTCTTAATTAGGTTATCTTTGCTATTTTCGAAGATAACCCCATCGAGTTTGGACTTATTTTAAAGGATTTTTCGTTATCTTTACGAAAATATCAATAAGAAGTTAAAATTTAAAATTTTATATCTTTGTAGGTTAGGTTGTGTACAATTTGGATGATTTAAAAATTTTTTTGTAGTAAAATTCGTAATCTACATCAAAAATCCTTTAAAATGACACCAAACACGATGGGGTTATCTCAAAACCAACGTATCGATTTTTCTTTCAAGATGGCGTCTTAATTAGGTTATCTTTGCTATTTTCGAAGATAACCCCATCGACTTTAGGCTTATTTTAAAGGATTTTTCATTGTCTTTACGAAAATATCAATGGGAAACCCAAATTTCAAAGTTTATTGTTTTGTTGGTTAGGTTATGTTGATTTTGGATGATTTAAAACCTGTTTTTGTGTTAAAATTCGTAATCTACATCAAAAATCCTTAAAAATGATACCCAACACGATGGGGTTATCTCAAAACCAATTTTCCGATTTCTTTTCACAATGGCGGTTAGGTTTTTAGGTTATCTTTTTTATTTTTAAACATAACCCCATCGAGTTTGGGCTCATTTTAAAGGATTTTTCGTTATCTTTACGAAAATATCAATAAAAAAAGAAAATTTTATATTTCTAGAGGTTAGGTTATGTTCAATTTGAATGATTTTGAAATTTTTTTATGTTAAAATTCGTAATCTACATCAAAAATCCTTAAAAATAATACCAAACTCGATGGGGTTATCTCAAAACCAATTTTTCGATTTATTTTCAAAATGGCCGTTAGGTTTTTAGGTTATCTTTTTTATTTTTAAATATAACCCCATCGAGTTTGGGCTCATTTTAAAGGATTTTTCCTTATCTTTACGAAAATATCAATAAAAAAACAAAATTTGGAATCAAATTAAAGGGAATTTCATAATTTTAAGCGATTTTAATTAGTTAACTCACCGCCATTCGTGAACTTTAAAAGGGCTTCGGTGGTGGATCGATCGACGTAAGCGAAATAAAAGATCGACATCAAAAGGTACCAAGTCGCGAAAGCCAAGCAAACGATTCTCAATAAATGAAACAATAATTTTTTTGGAAACCCGCAATTTCTTGAAAGAGGAATTAAATTCCCCACCTTCATCAATTTGTAATTATAATGTAAGAAATTCATTTTGGTCATTTCCAGTATGTTATGTTATAAGTTATAAGAGTTATGAGTTACAGCTGGAAGTGTCGGAGTTACACCAAAAGTATTACGAAGTTACCTTAATGACTATTGAATGAACAATCATTCTAATTATTCGGAAACGAACCTTATTTATACTCTTGTTATATGTTTCCAAAAAAGAAGTAATATGAGAAATGTATTTATTATTTAAAGACTATTCTACGTCTATTATTATTATTTGTTTATGACGGGCCACCTGCTACCACATAACTTATATATGTATACAGCATTAAAAAATATTAATTATCCGGTCATTTAAGTAATATCTTATTCTCTTTATTACGAAACGAATTCTTATTAATTCTTCTTATTAATTTGCTCGAATCGATTGAAATTCGCAACATTAGATAATGAATAAGTTATTAAAGGGAAAATGAATTGTCACAAAATGATTTTTGAAGTTTGTTTTGTCAAAAATTAAGCACAAAAAAATTTCCGTTAAAAAAATTCCCAATAATATGGTTCCGTCTCATCAAAATCATCATCAAGAACCGCAAAACCACGAATACTTTCCCGATCAATCCGTTACGTTCAACAAACGCGACAATTTCCTGTGTTTTCTATGGATTCCTCTGGTTCCGAGATACTGTCATCGGCGTCGACGAGAAAATCGCCCAGAAAGAAAACCATTTTCACCCATAAATCACAAATAAACGTCATCGATTACGACGATAACGACGAAAACGATAGCTGTAATTTTCGCAACGAAGAGATCAACCTGAACTCGTTCATTTTTAGCGGCGATAAAAATGAATCGAACTTAAAGTGCGCGACGCCTAAGACGTTGAATTTAATCTGTATCTTTACGTTTTTGGTTGTCTTTTCTTGCTTATGTTGGTACATTAATATGGTCTTTACGAAAACGGCCAGATTCGAAGGGTTCTTTGGAAACGAATATTTAAGGAAGAAATCGATTTTATTTAAACGATAAAATGTTTTTTTTTCTTTTATTTTGTATCTAAATAAAATTATGAACCAACAAAAAAAGGCGGTGGCTTTATATTCGTAATCTACGTTAAATTCCCTTTAATTTGATACCAAACACGCGATATTTCGGCTAAAATTAAGAAAAAAGTGAGGTTAAAATCATTCAAAATGGCCGCCAATTATATTTTTTGTTGTATTTATCTTAGTTTTAAAGATAAACACATCGAGTTTGGACTCGTTTTGAAGCATTTTCAATATCCCGTTTAATAAAAGCTTCAAAATTACAAAATTTTCGTTTATTTATTACAATTAAAGAAATTCAATTACAATTTTAACTTTATATTCGTAATCTACATTAAATTTCCTTTAATTTGATACCAAACACTTGATATTTCGGCTAAAACTAAGAAAAAAGTGAGGTTAAAATCATTCAAAATGGCCGACAATTATATTTTTTGTTGTATTTATGTTAGTTTTAAAGATAAACACGCCGAGTTTGGACTCGTTTTGAAGCATTTTCAATATCCCGTTTAATAAAAGCTTCAAAATTACAAAATTTCGTTTATTTATTACAATTAAAAAAATTGTATTACAATTTTAACTTTATATTCGTAATCTACATTAAATTCCCTTTAATTTGATACCAAACACGTGATATTTCGGCTAAAATTAAGAAAAAAGTGAGGTTAAAATCATTCAAAATGGCCGCCAATTATATTTTTTGTTGTATTTATCTTAGTTTGAAAGATAAACACATCGAGTTTGGACTGGTTTTGAAGCATTTTCAATATCCCGTTTAATAAAAGCTTCAAAATTGCAAAATTTTCGTTTATTTATTACAATAAAAAAAATTGAATTAAAATTTTAACTTTGTATTCGTGATCTACGCTAAATTTCCTTCAATTTGATACCAAACACGCTATATTTCGGTTGAAATTAAGGAAAAAGTGGGGTTAAAATCATTCAAAATGGCCGCCAATTATTTTTTTTTCGTATCTCTCTCAGTTTTAAAGATAAACATGTCGAGTTTGGACTCATTTTGAAGCATTTTCAATTTCCCGCTTAATAAAAGCGTCAAGATTACATATTTTTCGTTTAATTATTACAAGTAAAAAGATTTAATTAAAATTTTAACTTTGTATTCGTGATCTACGTTAAATTCCCTTTAATTTGATACCAAACACGCTATATTTCGGTTGAAATGAAGGAAAAAGTGAGGTTAAAATCATTCAAAATGGCCGCCATTTAATTTTATTTTTGTATCTCTCTGAGTTTTAAAGATAAACATGTCGAGTTTGGACTCATTTTGAAGCATTTACGATATCCCGCATCGTACAAACCTCAAAATTATAAAATTATAGTTTAAATATTATAAGTAAAAAATTTGATTAAAGTTTTAACTTTATATTCGTAATCTACGTTAAATTCCCTTTAATTTGATATCAAACACGGGATATTTCGGTTAAAATGAAGAAAAAGTGAGGTTAAAATGATTCAAAATGGCTGCCATTTACGTTTTTTTGCATCTTTTTTAGTTTTAAAGATAAACGCATCGAGTTTGGACTCATTTCAAATCATTTTCGATTTCGCACATCACAAAAACCTTATTTACGCTTAATTAATTAAAAAAAATTATTTTTGAGTTATTTATTTATTGAATCGATTTTATACAAACAAAAACCCTATTTTATTAACAAATCAAATCAAATAAACTTCGTTTGTTTTCTTTCACGTTGCAAAAACGAATTAATCACCGCCAATTCACCAAATTTAGAACCTATATACTCCAATTGAGCCTCGATATCCCATTCTTTCACTTTAATCTCGTCCCCCCTCATTTGGCACACTTTCTGGTACCAACTCCAGATAGCCTTTTTCAACCCGATGTGTTCCGCGCGTTTCCTCACACAAACCTTTTGAATTTTCGCCACGAGTCCCTCCAAACGGAGCGAATTCGCTCTCGCATTTTCATACGTTTGGTAAGTTAGCCCCAAATGATGCGAAATCCCGTTTAATTTCGTCCGTTTTTCCTCGAGCAATTTCGCAAAATCCCCTTTTAACGTGAATAAATTCTCGTCGTATTCAATGATTTTTTTCGAAAGGGCGTCTTTCGTCGATAATAAATCGTAAAATCTTATTAAGATGTTATTGATGTTTCTGAAGTTGTCTTTTTTGGCGACTTCCTCGAGGTAATCTTCGTACATTTTAAGCGATTTTAATTTGTTTTCCATTAAACATTTGATTTGCGATAAATTGTTGTAATCGGTTTGTAATTTTTCGATGTCCGCGTCGCGTTTTTCTTGGATATTAAGTTCGTTTAAGATTTTTATGCGCGTTCTAGCGCGTTTTTCCGCGTTTCCCATTACGAATTTGTTGGATTTTTTGATTAATTTTTTGAAATCGTTAGCTTTTTGTATCCAACGGTAGGCTACGTGGTCCAGTTTCGATCGGAATTCTATCGCTGATTGTCGCTTCCACGTTAAAGTGTTTTCTTTGATGCGTTTTTGGTCCCAGGCTAATCTTTTGTACATTTGGGGGGTGTCCCGGATGTAATTGGAGTCTGGGTGGATGTCTTGGTATGATTTTAGGATTTTTTTTGAAAGTAGAAATCGCCCCGCTTCGTTTTCGGGGCGAAATTTCGGGAAATCCATTTTTAGCTTTTTGTCGGGTATCTTACATTTTCTTTTAATTCTCCCCATAATGAGAAAATAATTAAAAAAAAATAAAAAAAAATTAACCCAAATTTTCTTTCTTGAAAAAATTAAAACTGCAAAGTCATTTTTGACTTTGACACAAGAATTCTTTTTTATTTTTCCTTTGTTCTAATTAAAATTAAAGGGTATTTGATGCAGACTACGATTACAAAGTTAGAATTTTAATTAAAATCTTTGCTTGTTGCAATTAAACAAAAAAATTTTGTAATTTCGACGCCTTTATTAAGCGGGAAATTAAAAATGCTTTAAAATGAGTCCAAACTCGGTGTGTTTATCTTCAAAACTAAGAGAAATACAAAAAAAATTAAATGGCGGCCATTTTGAATGATTTTAACCTCACTTTTTTCTTAATTTTAGCCGAAATATCGCGTGTTTGGTATCAAATTAAAGGGAATTTAATGTAGATTACGAATATAAAGTTAAAATTTTAATTAAATTTTTTTAATTTTAATAAATAAACGAAAATTTTGTAATTTTGAAGCTTTTATAAAACGGGATATTGAAAATGCTTCAAAATGAGTCCAAACTCGACATGTTTATTCTTAAAACTAAGGAATATGCAAGAAAAAATAAAATGGCGGCCATTTTGAATTACTTAAACGTCACTTTTTGCGTAATTTAACCGAAATATTCCGTGTTTGGTATCAAATTAAAGGGAATTTAACGTAGATTACGAATATAAAGTTAACATTTTAATAATTTTGTTTTGCATTTTTGCATTGTCACAAAAATTCTTTTTTATTTTTTACTTGGTTCTAAATAAAATTATGACTAGCAAAATTGCTTTTGATTACAAAATATTTTTCTATGCAGCGTGAACAAACAACAAGTATTGGTTGCGTTTCAAGTAGATTTTTAAAATTCCATGGCGATAGCGTTTGGAAAAAAAAGACCTCCAAAGAAATAGTTAAGAATGCGAAACGTTCTTGGCATAGCTCCATATAAAACAGAAGCTGCGACGCATAATCGCTTCAGTTCATAATTTCCCTATAAACTCGTCGTTTATGAATAATTAATTAATTAAAAAAAGCTAAAATGAAAGCTTTCTTGGCTCTTTTTGCGTTGATGACCATCGCTAACGGTTTGTATCAAATTATTTCTTATTTTTAATGAAATTAAGGAAAAATTAAACATTTAATTAATTAAAAAATTAAGCACAAGCTCCTCCGTTTCAAATAAATGGAAGTGCTTCCGTTGGGGCAAATTCAAGTCAAATTCAAATACAAGGTGAAAATAGCACCCAAAATTCAGAACAAGGTCAAAATAAAGGTGGAGCACAAGTTTCCGGTGGAGTTATTATAAACGGACCTCCACGGCCAGGAGCCGGTAAAAATTAATTTCTAAATCGTCTTGAATTAAAATCTTGTAAATAGCCCATTAAATGTCTAAAATCGTGTATATATATCATTAAAAAGAAATTAAATCAATTTTATTAGTGGAAGTTTATTAATTTTTGTTTCTGTAATTATTTCTAGCTCAAAATGGAGGTGGGGGTAAGTAAAATTATTAATTATTCCATTATTAATCTTTTTTTAATTAATCTAAACTCTTTTACGTCAATGTAGCGGATATTGGAAGTTTTCTTCAAGGTGTATCTAATGGAATTGGTGATTTTATCAAAGGATTTGCACAACCAATTGAAGCTGTAGGAAAAACATTTTGTTTTGCAATTGATTCTGGAACTAATCAAGTATTAAGACTTGATGATTTCGCTGGGAAAACTTTCTCGGTTAGTGTTGATGGAGTACCGATTTATAACGGAACTATTCAAGGAGGGACTGGAAATGGTTCAAATGGAAATGGTTCAAAAGGAACTGGTTCAAATGGAAGTAAAAGACATCATCACGGACAACATCATTTCGATTCTAAAAAAGCAATGAACCTTATCGAAAAGTTGAAAGGTGAAAAAGAAAATTTTGAAGATAAAAGACATCATGCAAGAAGAGATGCGCATTAAATATGCTAAAAAAAATTATTATTGTAAATTTAAATTGAAATGTAAAAAAATAATTTGACCCGAATAAAAATATATTGGCACAATTAAAACCAGTAGAAAATTTCATGAATTTTGATACCAAACACGACGTATTTGCGATAAAAATTGAAAAAAAGAATTTTAAATTTCAAATGGCGGCCATTTTGAATGATTTTAACCTCACTTTTTTCTTAATTTTAACCGAAATATCCCGAGTTTGGTATCAAATTGTAGGGAATTTAAGCTAGATTACGAATATAAAGTTAAAATTGTAATTAAATTTTTTTGCTTGTAGTAATTAAATGAAAATAATTTTAATTTTGAGGCTTTTATTAAGCGGGAAATTGAAAATGCTTCAAAATGAATCCAAACTCGATGTATTTATCTTCAAAACTAAGGAATATACAAAAAAAATTTAAATGGCGGCCATTTTGAATGATTTAACCTCACTTTTTTCTTAATTTTAACCGAAATATCCTGTGTTTGGTATCAAATTAAAGAGAATTTAATGTAGATTACGAATATAAAGTTAAAATTACAATTACATTTTTTTGCTTGTAGTAATTAAATGAAAATAATTTTAATTTTGAGGTTTTTATTAAGCAGAAAATTGAAAATGCTTCAAAATGAGTCCAAACTCGATGTATTTATCTTCAAAATTAAGGAATATACAAAAGCAATTGAAATGGCGGCCATTTTTAATGATTTAACCTCACTTTTTTCTTAATTTTAACCGAAATATTCCGTGTTTGGTATCAAATTAAAGGGAATTTAATGTAGATTACGAATATAAAGTTAAAATTTTAATAAAATTTTTTTAATTATAATAAATAAACGAAAATTTTGTAATTTTGAAGCTTTTATTAAACGGGATATTGAAAATGCTTCAAAACGAGTCCAAACTCGGTGTGTTTATCTTTAAAACTAACATAAATACAACAAAAAATATAATTGGCGGCCATTTTGAATGATTTTAACCTCACTTTTTTCTTAATTTTAACCGAAATATCCCGTGTTTAGTATCAAATTAAAGGGAATTTAATGTAGATTACGAATATAAAGTGAAAATTGTAATTAAATTTTTTTGCTTGTAGTAATTAAATGAAAATAATTTTAATTTTGAGGCTTTTATTAAGCAGGAAATTGAAAATGCTTCAAAATGAGTCCAAACTCGATGTATTTATCTTCAAAATTAAGGAATATACAAAAAAATTGAAATGTCGGCCATTTTGAATGATTTAACCTCACTTTTTTCATCATTTTAACCGAAATATTCCGTGTTTGGTATCAAATTAAAGGGAATTTAATGTAGATTGCGAATGTAGAGTTAAAATTTTAATTAAACTTTTTTGTTTTTAGTAATTAAGCGAAAACCATTTTAATTTTGAAGCTTTTATTAAGCAGGAAATTGGAAATGGTTTAAAATGAATCCAAACTCGGTATGTTTATTTTTAAAACTAAGTAAAATACGAAAAAAAATGAAACGGCGGCCATTTTGAATGATTTTAACCTCACTTTTTTCTTAATTTTAACCGAAATATCCCGTGTTTGGTATCAAATTAAAGGGAATTTATTGTAGATTACGAATATGAAGTTAAAATTTTAATTACATTTTTTGCTTGTAGTAATTAATCGAAAATAATGTAAATTTTGATGTTTTTATTAAGCGGGATATTGAAAATGCTTCAAAATGAGTCCAAACTCGATGTGTTTATCTCCAAAAGTAAGAAAATTACAAAAAGTATTTAATTGACGGCCATTTTGAATGATTTTAACCTCACTTTTTTCTTAATTTTAACCGAAATATTAAGTGTTTGGTATCAAATTAAAGAGAATTTAACGTAGATTACGAATATAAAGTTAAAATTTTAATAAAAAAATATTATTTTAATTAAACAATAATTTTGTAATATTGAGGCTTTTATTAAACGGGATAATGAAAATGCTTCAAAATGAGTCCATACTCGATGTATTTATCTTCAAAACTAAGGAATATTCAAAAAAAATTGAAAAGGCGGCCATTTTGAATGATTTAACCTCACTTTTTTCTTAATTTTAACCTAAATATCAAGTGTTTGGTATCAAATTAAAGAGAATTTAACGTAGATTACGAATATAAAGTTAAAATTTTAATAAAATTTTTTTATTTGTAATAATTAAACAATAATTTTGTAATATTGAGGTTTTTATTAAGCGGGAGAATGAAAATGCTTCAAAATGAGTCCAAACTCGATGTATTTATCTTCAAAACTAAGGAATGTACAAAAAAAATTGTAATGGCGGCCATTTTGAATGATTTAACCTCACTTTTTTCTTAATTTTAACCGAAACATCCCGTGTTTGGTATCAAATTAAAGGGAATTTAATGTAGATTACGAATATAAAGTTAAAATTGTAATTAAATTTTTTTGCTTGTAGTAATTAAATGAAAATAATTTTAATTTTGAGGCTTTTATTAAGCAGGAAATTGAAAATGCTTCAAAATGAGTCCAAACTCGATGTATTTATCTTCAAAATTAAGGAATATACAAAAAAAATTAAATGGCAGCCATTTTGAATGATTCTAACCTATCTTTTTTCTTAATTATAACCGAAATATTCCGTGTTTGGTATCAAATTAAAGGGAATTTAATGTAGATTACGAATATAAAGTTAAAATTTTAATTAAATTTTTTTAATTGTAATAAATAAACGAAAATTTTGTAATTTTGAAGCTTTTATTAAACGGGATATTGAAAATGCTTCAAAATGAGTCCAAACTCGATGTGTTTATCTTTAAAACTAACATAAATACAACAAAAAATATAATTGGCGGCCATTTTGAATGATTTTAACCTCACTTTTTTCTTAATTTTAGCCGAAATATCGCGTGTTTGGTATCAAATTAAAGGGAATTTAATGTAGATTACGAATATAAAGTTAAAATTGTAATTAAATTTTTTTGCTTGTAGTAATTAAATGAAAATAATTTTAATTTTGAGGCTTTTATTAAGCGGGAAATTGAAAATGCTTCAAAATGAATCCAAACTCGATGTATTTATCTTCAAAACTAAGGAATATACAAAAAAAATTTAAATGGCGGCCATTTTGAATGATTTAACCTCACTTTTTTCTTCATTTTAACCGAAATATTCCGTGTTTGGTATCAAATTAAAGGGAATTTAATATAGATTACGAATATAAAGTTAAAATTTTAATAAAATTTTTTTAATTGTAATAAATAAACGAAAATTTTGTAATTCTGAAGCTTTTATAAAACGGGATATTGAAAATGCTTCAAAATGAGTCCAAACTCGGTGTGTTTATTTTTAAAGCTAACATAAATACAACAAAAAATATAATTGGCGGCCATTTTGAATGATTTTAACCTCACTTTTTTCTTAATTTTAGCCGAAATATCGCGTGTTTGGTATCAAATTAAAGGGAATTTAATGTAGATTACGAATATAAAGTTAAAATTTTAATTAAATTTTTTTGCTTGTAGTAATTAAATGAAAATAATTTTAATTTTGAGGCTTTTATTAAGCGGGAGAATGAAAATGCTTCAAAATGAGTCCAAACTCGATGTATTTATCTTCAAAACTAAGGAATGTACAAAAAAAATTTAAATGGCGGCCATTTTGAATGATTTAACCTCACTTTTTTTTTTTAGTTTTAACCGAAATATCCCGTGTTTGGTATCAAATTAAAGGAAATTTGACGTAGATTACGAATATAAAGTTAAAATTTTAAATGGCGGCCATTTTGTATGATTTCAACCTCACTTTTTTTAGTTAATTTTATCCGAAATATTTCATGTTTGGTATCAAATTAAAGGGAATTTAATGTAGATGTTAAAAAATATTTTCTTTTATAATAAATCGAAACATATCGCGTTTAGCATCGAATTAAAGCGAATTTAACCCGGATTACGAAACAAAAAATTTTCCAAGTTATTTTTTTACATTTCCTTTTAATCTAAAACGTGCGTATGATAACCGCCCGAACAATTCTCGTTGGGAAACCGTTTCAATTGCAAAACGGACTTCGGTATTTATCCGTTTCGCAATCGGGAGGACACGAAAATGTTTAAGATTGCTCAAGTAACAACGGTTGAGCAATAATATTCGTGGGGTTGCTCGTTATCAATAACCAACAATTCCAAGGCGCTTTTTATTGCGCAAGATGATTGCCGAGTTTTTCGCGTTCTCCGGTTGTTGGGATTCCTCGAAAATATCTTAACGTTACTCAAGTGATAAGAAAGGGGTATAAAAGTTCGACGCGGTTTTACGACCATCAATTCGGGCTAACCTACAACTCGTTAGCTAATACAAACCGAGGACAATGACGAAAATTCTGCAAATAGCCGTTGTGTGTCTTTTTATCGTCGCTTCCATTCAGGGTAAGTTCATTGTTTTAGTTGTTTTTTGAAATAATTGGGTGTAATTTTTTTTTAGGGCGTCGATTGAAAAGAGCCTCACTTAAGTATGCCATTTATGCATGTCGTCTTGACTGTGATGGAAAGGAAAATACTGTATCTACTAATCCTTCTCAATCTACACAACCTTCTATAGTAACAGAATCTTCTGCAAATACAGAATCTTCTGAAGGAACAACACCTTCTGAAGGAACAACACCTTCTAAAGGAACAACACCTTCTGGAGAAACAACATCTTCTGAAGAAACAACACCTTCTGAAGAAACAACACCTTCTGGAGAAACAACATCTTCTGAAGAAACAACACCTTCTGAAGAAACAACATCTTCTGAAGAAACAACACCTTATGAAGAAACAACACCTTCTGAAACAACACCTTCTGAAGAAACAACACCTTCTGAAGAAACAACACCTTCTGAAGAAACAACACCTTCTGAAGGAACAACACCTTCTGTAAATACAGAACCTTCAGTACCTACAACACCTACTGAATGTACCCCATCAGCTGACTCGAACGCCACAGGTAAGTAAACATAAATATCAACATTAATTCACAAACTTTTCGTTCAATTTTTTGATAGATTGTGAGAATGAAAAAAATGTTATATTGATATGGGTGCAAATAACACAAAATATGCAATGTGACATAGGCAATACCCTAAGATCTTTCTTCACTGTGGTCTTCACTTCTAAAATCAAAGCATTAGTAGCTATTAGAAATGTATTGGTCAACGGATATACAGAACTAACAAATTCAGCCGTAATACAATTGAAAGCATCATTGACGGTGATTCTTGGAGCAAGATTTAATGTCACCTCTAGTTTGAAGTCTATACTTACGTCTGGAGTATCAAGTGGACTTGATTTTGCGAATAAACTTGCCGCGGGATTAAACGAAAATAAAGACGTTTCTATTACTATTTCTCAATTTTTCGGTTTCTTTTCTCGAAGTTCTGGAAGTAGCTCTATTCCATGCATTTGCAATGCTATAAATTCTTTCAAACAAATCACTCCTTCTGATCTATCAAGTAAATATGAAAACTGTAATTTTTTTTTAGGAATACTTACTAAAATTCAATTAAATCTTCAGGTGTACTGACTTCCGCACTGAATAAGACTTTAGGTATCTTTGGTGGTAGTGGTGGTGTCATTGTTGGAGGTGGCGGTAGCAGTGGAGGTGACGGTAGCATTGGAGGTGACGGTAGCATTGGAGGTGGCGGTAGCAGTGGAGGTGACGGTAGCATTGGAGGTGACGGTAGCATTGGAGGTGGCGGTAGCAGTGGAGGTGACGGTAGCATTGGAGGTGACGGTAGCATTGGAGGTGGCGGTAGCAGTGGAGGTGACGGTAGCATTGGAGGTGACGGTAGCATTGGAGGTGGCGGTAGCAGTGGAGGTGACGGTAGCATTGGAGGTGGCGGTACCATTGAAGGTGGCAGTAGCATTGAAAGTGGCGGTAGCATTGGAGGTGGCGGTAGCAGTGGAGGTAGCGGTGGCATTGGAGGTGGCGGTAGCTTTGGAGGTAGCGGTAGCATTGGAGGTGGCGTTACCAGTGGTTTTGGCCAACATATTGTATCAGATAACAGACACCATCACAACAAAAAGCACCATCACACCGCTAATAAAAAACACCATCACAAGCAAGAACACAACAAAAAACACCACCATCACGAAAAGAAACACAACGAGGCTAAGAAACATCATCATCAGAATAAACACCATCAACACCAAACCCGTCACCATCACAAAAAAGCACATAGAGGACAACACGAAAAACAACAAGAATAAAAAGAAAAATTACAACGACCGAAACTTCGATGACGAACTTGGCGATGACCACGGATTTAGCTAACTAAAACATATGTCTTAACCCGAATTCTGTATTCCTAATCGTAAGGTTGCTTCTAATTTATAATAAATGCACGACGAACATTCCAAAAATGAATTTGTTGTTTTTTTTTTGTCTTGAAAACGGTTCGACTCTTTTTTGTTCAAAAAAACACCCTGTATACAGGGGTCTTGCGTAACTGGTTTTTCAGGTTAAATTATTCGTAGAGATTTGAAATTTTGATACTAGGAATTATTCATCCGAAATTTTCGATCTAGAATATTTTCAAGATGGTCGCCACTTCCGGTCTATCGGAAATAGACCATAACTTCGTTATTTTAAATGGAATGCTATAATTTTTGTTACATCTTCTAATTGTACGTCAAAAAATAAGTTGACTTTGATAAAACTTATTGGTACCTAGCTTTTTTCGTTTTCGAGTTATTTTGGTTTTAAGCTTTTTTTCATAAATTTCAACATGCTCTTTAAAATCCCATATCTCAGCCAACGTTCATTCAAAAAAGCTATAAATTGGCAAGATTACTGCTCAGATGCTATCAAATAGATTCTCATTTGTTGTATCAGAGTATCTTATACAGGGTGGTCAATAATTGAATTACCGTTTCTCTATATTTTTTTAACCTATCAGAAAGGGAATTTAATTCTCTACAAATTATCTATAAACATTTCTATACATATATCTATATATATATATTATAACCGAAAATGATCAAAAACATCAAAATTTTCGTTTTATTTTTGAGCTGGGTTGGTACTATTAATCGATGGATTAAAATAACTTATTTGATACGTTTTATGGGTTAATTATAAATCTTTTTTGTATGAAAACTTTTTTTCCATCAGATATAATTAATGAGTTATAAAAGAAAATTGATGAAAACGTCAAAATTTCTATTACTCTTAAATTGGGTTGGTAATGCTGATTGATGGA